GTACAATACAGAGCTGAAGACTATCTAAACCATAGACATACCATGTTATGGTAGACCAAACACACAGACATACAATGGCATGTCTATATTCATTGCAAGGTCTATTTAACTTAATAAACATATTTGGCTGAAATGAACTCCTTACTACCATCATGGTAGAGCAAACACATTGACATACCATGTTCACATGTACTGCATATCATGTGCTGGTCAAAAACATCAGCACATCTATATCCTAAAGTTCAAATTATCAAGGAGCAATATAAATCAGATCATGGATTCATGCACAGTCAGTGCCAACCAAGCAGAATGCTTATATTACACCAAATTAAAATCGACGCTTAGGTAGGATCATACTACAGAAAATTCATCCCCATACCAATCTAACCTTTTAGCTTCTATATCTGCTGCAGTCTAGAAAAAAAAAAAATACACCAACACACAGGACCTGTCAAAATTTGGTGATAACCAACTCTACAATGGCATAGAAGAACAGAGGGCCAAAAACAGCATGTTTAGATCAGCAGATGGAGCCTACATCTACATTATGGGTCAAAACCTGTATTTAGATCAGCAACCATGTAATTCGCAAACCAAAAATATTGGCATAGCTTGATGTTTTTTGCACCTAAATCTTGTTTGGCCTATTTTATCTAGATTCAATACACAACCAGAAGTCCCTTTACAGAGTTGGGCAAAACAACATTACACAGGCGGCCTGCTCAACCACCTCTGTGGGAGCGCCAGTGTAAATGGAAAACATGTCCATCTCTGAAATTCATGTTTATAGAAGCAGGTGTCTTACGATGCACGCCTCTGCAAATCAATAAAAGAACAGTTCCGCCTGCATCACCGGGGCGCCACAGGCCATCCTCAACGAGAACCTTCTTGAGCCCAGTGCACCCTTTCCTTCTGCTACTGCAGCTTCTCCCAGTCGTTCTTCTTGTTGTATTCCCCACAGTGCACCCAGTCATCCAACTACAGGAGAACCACAAGGTAACAACAGCAGCAGCAGCAGCATACCGGTTAACAAGAACAAATAAAATCCTCCATGTACACAAACTAGAACTGGAATGCAGCACGTATCATGGATAAATATTGAAGAAATCATCAATCTACTGAGAAGAAACATGCATGCATGAGGATCGGAGAATATGTGTATGCTTGTCTGTCAAGATCACCTGTTGGACAATATGTGAAGCAATCTCTAACAGACACAATATGTATGGATGCTATCTGTTGTTCTGGTTAGTCAAGTAAACTTTAGACTTACTGATTTATTTGGCCATCACAAAAGAATACGTGCTGCCCCAGCTTTAAACAATCTGAGGTGGATCCAGGCCTAGATCGACGGAAGCTGCAACAGCAGACCCAAATTAATTCTGAGGTGTTCAGAGCAGAAGATTGTTCTGATTAATAAAAATGTGGAGAGATACATTTGGCCTCAGTTTAGCATTTTGGCACATTAATCATGGCCGCCGATAACTCGGGCAAAAGATTGCCCGAAGCGCAAAATAGTTAGCGAGGGTCATGCCATAAGCTTCTCATCACCGGCAATGCACGACTCAAATCTAAGAAGTCCTCTGTGTAAGAAATCGCCTCTGTAATCCGCGTGACACACTGCCTCTGTAATTGGATTTTCAAAGACGGCCTCATAAGAAGGCCATCTCTGAAAATGACCTTATTTTCAGTTATGGTCTTTTTAACGCCTCTGAAAATCTATTTATAGAGGCAGGGAGAGATTTTTAGAGGCAATGGAAGAAAATGTCCGCCTCTGTAAATAAAACCCACTGTCTCCTGAAATCATTTTTGTGGTAGTGTTGTTGTACACGGTCTACACCAAATAAGATTAATTTAGAAAGCAAGAACAGAAAAGATCATCTGATCCTGAAATTAAAAAAAATAGAGAAGTGACTGTTACTTATGCAAGATGATTTAGTAATATCTCTTTCCCATATAACATTATTTAACAAACAGAGAACCAAATGTGGGTAATATATGATTAGAAGAGCCACCATGGTGATGTCTGAAAACCTCTGGATTAAGTGAGGATATGGTACATTGCATCAGATGCTATATATCCCAGTGCCATCCATTTCATATAATAGTATTTTAGAAATAGACAAATATTTTGATCAAACATCATATTCTGTGCATTAAATGCATCAGCAAAGCATTGTAAGTTCACACTGTACCCAAAAACCATTACATAGGGCACTTTATGCTTGCCACCGATAAACTAGATCATGAAAATTCTCTAGAATGAATGACCTCAATAGTAGTTCTATTATTAGCATAAGTAAGTAAGACATACGTGTACAGAACACAGGCAGCATTCAATTTATGCACGATAAATAACCATTGTTAAATAATTATAAGCACATAGTGGTGGAATGAATACATGACCAAACAACAACTACAGCAAAAAAAAAGAATCTACTACAGCATTTATTTCAACGCCTTCTCCTCACCAAACAATTATACCCTAATAATGAAATATTTTGATTCGTGAACTATATGTAACAAGGAACATGAATCGTGTTAGGTGTTATTGTGTTGATGACATATAACATGAAGTCTCAAACACGTTCATACTCATTCCACGGTCTACTGAACTTTCTACCAATATCTTCAGTGTTACACACTCACCAGAAATTAACTCATTACCTCATTTGGGCACGAGCGTGGCGATGCGGAGGTCGGTATGAGCGGAGGAGACGCAGTCGTCGGCGACTCCGCCCAACCGGAGCGCATCGGGGAGCGCCGCACAGGACGCGTGTGAGGGAAGGAGCGCTCGCGCAGGGCGGTCGGAGACTTGGAGTCGGCCAGTGTGACACGATGTAGGAGAGCCGAAGATGCGGTACTGTGACTGAGAGGACTCCACCAGGATGGGGCGGGGCAGAGGCCGAGGTGGTGGCGGAGCTGTACGGCGAGGTGGCGCCCGCGCCGCCGGAGGATCGGGAGGAAGGCTAGGTGAGATCTGTGCGAGGCTCTGAGCCGTGTGGAATGGATGATCTGGTAGTCTCCAGAGACAAGTAAAGCATGGAGAAGGCTGGTGAGTGGGCCGCTGATAACATTCTCGATCCATTTTCATAGTGGGCCAACTGGGCTGACATAAAGTAAGGATGCAAGTGGCAGCCGTTTTGGTATTTTATAGGTCGAAGTAGTTTAGTTTGTTTCTTCCCCTAGACTAGATTAGTTGAACGTGGCAGCATTGTAATTCATTTTTATCAAGTTCCAGGTCACACACAATGACCGAAAATATATAGAACTTGAATCTCTATAGATAAGGTCTATTGTTTGATCTTGGTAAGGATCGACCCGTCTTTGTTGTTGGTCCGGTAGAAGTGTCCAAAAGAATTGAAAGAGTCTTAAGTTGTCTTGAAAGAAATGGAGTAAAAGGAACTGCTAGATGATGCTAAACACTGGGATCGGGTCGGACTCGACTTGGGCCAATAAAAAATTGTCATGTCAAAATTTTTGGTCCGTCGACGCACTGGCAGATGGGATTAGATCAGGTTTTACTACTTTGGGTCAGCTTTCTCAGGTTGGATCGGGTCATGGGTCTAAAATCATAACTCGAATCTGACCCGACATACCAGCCAGTTAAGTCAAGTCAAAAAAGTTTGGAAGGTCGAGTTAGGTGGCCCATGATCAAAATTCATATCACACAGAGGATGCGTAAACAGTAATGCTTAGTTGAGGGCGCCCGTCCGTCCAGACGGACCAACCCCCGCATGCACGTGACGACCAAGAAAAAAAAGCGGGGCATGTAGTTGCAGTCAGGCGGGGCCTGCACCGGTCCTTTTCTATGGGGCAGCGCATGGGAGCATGGGTGGCTTCTCGTTCGGCGTGGGGTGCATGCGGCGTAGGGCAGCGCATGGGAGCTCGTGCGGCCACTTGTACTGCGTGGGGCGTAGGGCAGCGCATGGGAGCGCATTTGGCCTCGCTCGGCATGGGGTGCATGCAATGTGTGAGGGCATGTGCATGCGCTGTGACCAGAGAGACAAGGACCGGCAGAGAGAAGGAGCGCGGGGCCTGCATACTCTATGGCACCAGCTCCGTATGTTTCATGTGTTTAGATGTATATTTCATATGTTTCATTTGGATGTTGCATGTTTTTCATCCGGATGTTGTATGTGTTTCATCTGGACGTTGCATGTGTTGCAATGGTTATACAAGTATGTTGCAAGTGTATATTTCAAATATTTCATCTATTTTAGACATATGGTGCAAGTGTTTTATTTGGATGTTGCATATGTTTCAATGGCTATATACACATGTTGCAATCGTCTATTCAAAATATTCCATCTGTTTCAGACATATGTTGCAAGTGTTTTTATCTAGATGTTGCATATGTTGCAGTTGCTATACACATATGTTGCAAGAGTATGTTGCAAATGTTTCACCTATTTCAGACGTATGTTACAGAAGTGCTTCATGTTGCAACACTAGCAGGCGCAGTAAGCGGGCGCATGCGGAGGCAGTCCATGCGGGCATAGTGGTCCCCACGTGCGTGGCAAGCGAAGCGGGCGTGGGTGGTCCCCACCTGCATGCGCATCAGGCGCACAACTGCATGTGAAGACGCACCAACTTGCAGGGACAGGTGTGCAGGCTTAGCAGTTGCATGTGGCATCTGAGGGGTGGGCGTGCGTCGCGCGCAGCAATTGCATGTAGGGCGAGCTTAGCGACAAGCGTGGCAGGCGGGGCAGACCTTGAAAGAAGCGGGCAGCGGGCGTGGGCTGTGAGCATCCGAACGTCTGGGCACTAAACACGCCCGTGCATAAAAGCATGCATGGCACGCTAAACCTTTGGCCACAAAACAAACCGATGGCCTATTTGGTTGATGCTTAGCTTTGCCACAAAGTTCAAAGAAAATGAAAATTAAATAAACTACCGCATTCACAAAAATTGCAGCCAAGAAATCCTATGTCACGATTGTAGCAAAATTTAGCATCTCTTTTTTTGGGGGTAATAACAAAGGCCCTCTCTTCTCCGCCATGTCTCTAGCCACTACACACCACTACATGCGGGGAGGGTAAGGGAAGGGGGACTGATTTGATCTCCCCTTTCTTTTGAGGGATTGAGGGGGTGGTTTTCTCAATTAATAAAACAATAGTGTAAGGAGATTAGAAAGGGATCTATTGGAGTTTACTTTTTGCCTTCAATCTTTATTATCACTAGTTACAGAAAAGGGGGTTCATTTTATTCTTAATCCGGTGAAGATATGCTCTAACATCCCTCGGTTCTCATGTTGATCTTATACGTAATGAACATCCTTTTACCGGCTCACTTGATTTTGAGTGTTTCAAGGTAGGTTTGAACTACTTATATTTGAATCAAGTTAGTGTAATAAATTATACTTCCGCACTCTAATTTGTAAACCACTTCTATTGTAACCCTATGTATCAATGTGTTGTACGCTATCCCAGACTGCGATAGATGGTGTCATCCTGGTCCTTCGACCCTCAACAGACTACCGGATTATAGAGTTCAAGTGCGTAGCGGCTATTAATCCTCGAGATGCCGGCCATCATAATTGAGCTCTTGTAAATTGGGTGATTCTACCTCAGGAGGTTTCCGGGATTTGGTCCGAAACATCTGAATTTCTGCAAAATTCACCTATTTCGGTGAGGGCTAAAACAACATTGCACCAGTCAAAAAGTTGGACAAGATTTGAACTTTTAGTCTAGTCTAGAGTTCAAACAAACTCGCAAGTTCTTCCTTCAGTGTAAAAGTGCATCCTTCTCCTAATCATTAGTTTCCTCTTTATGCCGGCCTCTTGATCAAATTTCGGCAAAAATTCAGCTAATTATTAGCTAAACCTGAATATTTTCACGGGCAAAAATTGCAAGATTCACCTAATTCCGCTGAGTCCAAAAAGTTTGTATCATTTAAATTGCATACCCGGTTCCAAGCATGAAATGCGTATTCCCAATTTCCCCACAACCTTCCCTGTACCAACCCTCCACCAACACAACGTCACAATGCGATGCAAGTATGCAACACACTCTGTACACTCTACCTTAGCTTATCACATTGCAAGGATGCATGAAAAGGCTTAAAGATCACATGCGTGCATGCTCAGCAGCCATGCCCAAGCCAATCCTTGCTTCTCCACCTTCTCCTGATCGCCAGTTGCATTGCCAATGCCGCCACAGCCGATGATGCCCCGTCCCAGGGAGAATGGCAGCTCCTCCACGCGGGCATCGGCGTGTCGGCGATGCACATGCAGCTGCTCCCGGAGGACTTCGTCCTCATGTTCGACCGCACCGACACAGGCCCCTCCAACATCTCGCTGCCCGCGCTGGCGCCGTGCGCGGACACCGTCGACGGCGCCGACTGCACGGCGCACTCGATGCTCCTGGACGTCCGCTCCAACGTGCTGCACCCGTACCCGCTCGCCACCAACCCGTGGTGCTCGTCCGGGGCGCTGCTCCCCAACGGCACGCTCCACCAGACCGACGGCTTCTCCAGCGGCGACCTCGTCGCGCGGCTCTTCTCGCCGGCCACGGGCTGGGTCGAGCTCCCCTCGTTCCTCGCGCGCGGCGGTGGTACGCCACCGACATGATCCTCCCCGACGGCCGCGGTCTCATCCTCGGCGGGCGGCGGCAGTTCAACCTCGAGTACTTCCCGCACGCCGACGCCGCGCCGCCACTGACGGTCTTCCCGTTCCTGGACGAGACAACGGTGCCGGACGCCGAGAATAACCTGTACCCGTTCCTCCACCTGCTCCCCGACGGCACCGTCTTCGTCTTCGCCAACGACCGCGCCATCGTCTTCGACCCCTACAACCGCGCCCCGCTCCGCCGCCTCCCGCCCGTTCCCGGCGGCGTGCCGCGGAACTACCCGTCGTCGGGCTCGTCCGTGCTCCTCCCGCTCCGCCCCGACGCGCCCGCGCACGCCGAGGTGCTGGTCTGCGGCAGTGCGCCGCGGGAAGCGTACCACCTGGCGCTGCGGAACGGCACGTTCGTGACCGCCGACCGGACCTGCGCGCACGTCGCGCCGACGGACCCGGACCCGGTGGTGTGGGCGATCGAGGAGATGCCGATGGCCCGGGTGATGGGCGACATGGTGCTGCTGCCCACGGGCGACGTGCTGATCGTGAATGGGGCCGCGGCGGGCACCGCCAGGTGGGAGCTGGGGCGGGAGCCGGTCACACGGCCCGTGTTGTACAGGCCCGACGCGCCGCTGGGGTCGCGGTTCGATTAGTCGTCGCCGCTGGCGGGGTCGGCGGTGCCGCGGATGTACCACTCGTCGGCGGCGCCGGACACGTACGGCCGCGTGCTGGTGGGCGGCAGCAAACCGCACGTCGGGTACGTGTTCGCCAACGTGACGTACCCGACGGAGCTGAGCCTAGAGGCGTTCTTGCCGCCGTACATGGACCCGCGGCACGACAGCGCGCGTCCGCGGGTGCTGCCGGCTCCCGCGGAGGTCCGGTACGGCGAAGCGACGGCCGTGAAGTTCGTGATACCCGCCGGTGCGGGTGCGGGCGGGGAGGTGGTGTGGGTGGCCGCGGTGGCTCCGGCGTTCGCGACGCACTCGTTCGGGATGAACCAGCGCGTGGTGGAGCTGGGCGTGGGGAGGGTGGCGGAGCTGGACGTCGGGGTTTACGAGGCCGTGGTCGCCGCGCCGCCGACGCCCGGGGTGGCGCCGCCCGGATACTACATGTGGTTCGTGGTGCACGCCGGCGTGCCCAGCAGCAGCGCCGAGTGGGTGCGCATGCGGCCGCTCGGACCAGGCACCTGATTGAATGGCCTGAGACTGAAAGTCCAGAGATGCATTTTGCGTGCGTGGTCGTGGTTTGACTTTTGACTACTGATACTTGTAGTAGGACTATATATGGCCAAACGGGCCCGCCCGGCACGGCACTGGCACGGGCACGGATAGGCACGGCCCGGCCAGGCACGGCACTACGCGGCACGGCATGTTAGCCGTGCCGTGCCTGATAGTGCCGCCGTGCCGACTCAGTGGCCCAGGCACGGCACTATCATGGCTTAGGCGTGCCGTGCCGTGCCACTGGGCACGGCAGCCCGTAGTGCTCGTGCCGGCACTAACACTAAAAGTGTCAAACATCTCAGAAACTTCAGAATTTTAACAGAAACTTGTACAATACATCAAATTTTAGAAGATCACACTTTGACAGCAGAGATACAAGTTCAAACTTTAACTGAAACTTCAGAAGATAACAAACACAGAAACAGACCAGAGAGAACAAAATAAAATTTTATTGGAGCTTTAGTGCAATGGCTGCCTCATTAAAAACCTGTCTAGGTAAAACTCACCCTTGTGAGAAACCCTAGACAGGGAAAAAAGAGTACAGCCTAGCTCCTTTTAAGTTCATTGTCCTTAAATCAAAGTTCATAAGTCCAGCATATTACAGTCCAGCACATAAATGATAACTAAGACAACTAATCAAGATAAAGTTCTTCAAATGCTTCTTCAAGCTCCTGGTCTTCCACATTGTGCTGCATCCTTGCCTCAGCTGCCTCCCAGTCTTTGATGCAGGTGAGCATCTCCACCATCTCAGCCTTCAGCCTCCTCCGCCGCTCCTCGATTATCCTGCCAGTCATACTAAAAGTGGACTCGGAAGATATGGTAGAAACAGGAACAGTTAAAATATCTTTAGCCATGATTGACAGAACTGGATAAGTGAGTTTGTGCTCATGCCACCAGTTCAACAGGTTAAAATCATCATCTAACTGGCTAACAGTGTCACAGTCCAAGTAGGAAACCAGTTCAGAAGTATTATTAGAAGAACTTGCAGCATGCAGTAGGGCAGTTGCAGAGGTATGTCTAGACAGATTAAGAGTACCAGATAGAGGATGGATACCACCTGCAGAACAATCACCTTCATCATCATCATAAATCTCATCCCAAGCAGACCTTTTCTTACCAGACAGGTTAGGAGGGACAGTCCTCCTCAACCTAACAGATCCAAATTTCTCCTCATACTTATTGTAAACATCAGTTAGTCGAGCTCTAGTGGCAAGCTGGTAAGTTTCATAGGATGTACTGGTAAGGCTACCCAACCTCCTCAGTACTCTGCTGAAACCTTTCATTTTAGCTCTAGGATCTAAGATGAATGCAAAAGAATATAGCAAAGGAATATTCCTCCAGTATTTATTATATTTGTCTATCATTGGTTGAATCACATGTCTGAGGTGAGTGTCATTACCATAGTTTTTTAGGTGTATAGCAATCTTAACTAGATAATGAATCATAAGTGGAGATGTAGGATAGTACACACCAGACAAAGCAACAGTAGCATCATAAAACAGTTCAAGAAATTTAAATACTTTTTGTACAACAGCCCAATGTTCATCAGTTAAAAGCAACTGACCACCTTCACCCCTAGGATAGTGAGCATGCATGAAAGTAGTGAAAGGAGTCTGGTGAGGAAACAAATGCTTGAGCATCAGATATGTAGAATTCCACCTTACCTCCATGTCCAGCTGAAATTTCCTAGGTCTAACACCAGTGGCAATACAGTAACTTTTGTATGCAGCAATTCTCTGGTTAGATGAGTTCAGAAATGATATTGCAGTTCTAAATGTTTCAATCAAAGGCTGAAGAGCATTAAGGGCCTCCTTAACAATGAGATTTATGATATGACACGCACAACGCTGATGCATAAACAAAGTACTAACTGCATTATCAGTTTCATTTCTATCATTTCTATCATTATCAGGGGGTACTTCAATACCAAGATATTTAGATAGTACAGGCCTAAGTGTACGCATGGCAGAAACATTAGATGAGGCATTGTCCAAAGTAACAGCAAAGACCTTTTCAGTCAAACCATAATCAGCAAGCACAGATATAACCCTTTCAGCAATGTTTTGTCCACTATGGGACACATCAATAAGCACAAGACCAAGCACCCTCTTCTCTAGTTGCCAATCAGGATTTATGTAATGAGCAACCACACTAAGATAGTCCTCTTTGGCATTACCAGACCAAATGTCAGAGGTAAGACAAACACAATTTATAGCAGATGAACTAAGAGTCTCAACAAGCTTAGTCTTTTTATCAGTGAAGTATTTGACTATGTCTCTGGTGGTGGTTTGTCTAGAGACAGGAACAAACTTTGGATTATGAGCATTTCTAATGTAATCATAAAAAGCATCAGTTTCACCCATACAGATAGGCACATCAAGTCTACAAAGCAATCGAACCAGTTCAGTGCGAGCAACAATAGGACAGTACTCCCAAGAACGCATACTACCATCAGGATTAAAAGATATCTGAGACTGAGTCATGCGAGTTTTCTCATTCCTCTTAACACATTTGTCCCTATGACGAGTGAGGTGACCAGTGCCACCACTAGAGAGAGCAGAGTACTGCTTATTGCAGTGGATGCAGCGAGCGGCATACCTTACCTTCTTACCTTTGGGACCTTTTTTGAACAACTTCTTAAAATCGAGCCACACAGCCGAGGTAGAAGGACGTGAGCGCTTGTTGTCGTTGTCATCCTCTCCTTCTTCTTCTTCGCCCCCTATTGCATCATTGCTGCCGCCATCAGCTACAATGGGATCCTCAACGCGACGGCCGAACAGCTCCGCAGCGTCCTCGCGCAGGTCATCCTCGTCGTCATCTCCGGCTAGCCCGCACATCCGCCTCTCATCGTTGGCGCTGACCTCAACGGTCTCGTCGGAGGAGCGGGCCATCGTCACTCGCCGGCGCCCGGTTCCTCAACGGCTTCACACATAAACAAAGAATCAGTAGCAGATCTAGTTAGGGTTAGGGTTAGGGTTAGGGTTAGGGTTAGGGTTTACAGTACCTTGGCGGCCGGAGCACCGGGAACGCCGGCGACGTCGACGACGCGGGATCCGGCCCTCTGGTTCCTCGACGGATGCGAATCAAGAGGGGACCTACAGGAGGGGAGCACATCAGATCGAGATCCAGGAGGGGATAAGAGAGGAAGAGCCAGATCTGGAGGGGAGCAAAGCTCAACTTACCGACATCCGGAGCACCAGAGTTGCCGGGGGCCCGGCGAGGTCGACGACGGTGACGAATGAAACGACGAGGTGGGGCGACAAGGATGCCACGGAGGGCGAGAAGAAGAGAGAGACACCACCGGAGAGGGAGACGAAGAGAGAGAGAGCCGCTCGCGAGAGGTTAGAGCGAGAGACAGGAGAGAGAGGGAGCTGGAAACAAATGAGCTAGGGTTTCGTCGATACGGGGCGGCGGGGGGCGCTGGCTTATATCCTTTGCTGGAGCCGTGCCAAGGCCGTGCCGGCCTGTTTGCCGTGCCGTGCCTGGGCCGTGCTAGCGGGCCGAGGTGGCAGCCGAGCACGGCATCGTTGTTGCGGGCCGTGCGTGCACGGCACGGCAGCGAGCGGGCGGGCGGGCGGGCCTGGGCCGTGCTTTTTAGTGCCGTGCCCGTGCCGGCCCACAGTGTTAGTGCCATTTGGAAAACTATAAGTAGGACAGATTGAAGTTCAACTATCTCCTGCAACTAAAAAACAAAAGGTGAATATTTTTTGATGTGACATTTTAACGTGGGTCCATCGTCCTGCACGATCCCGCAAGTACCCGACGGGCCGAAGCGTGCGATCCCGCACGGCGCTTCCCCACCCTTTCCCTGAAAACGATCACACCTCATCGTATGCCACCGTGCAATAGAGGTAAACTGAGCCATTGAACGCCACCAGGAAAATGGAAGGAATTGATTCACGCCCCCATGGCTACGGCACCCCCACGGGCGGCGCGCATTGCCAATGCCGCATTCTCCACCTCCTCCTAATCGCCAGCTGCATTGCCAATGCCGCCGGCGCCGATGATGCCCCGTCGCAGGAGCCCACCACACCGTCCTCGTCGTTCCAGGGAGAATGGCAGCTCCTCCATGCGAGCATCGGCGTCTCGGTGATGCACATGCAGCTGCCGCCGGAGGACTTCGTCCTGATGTTCGACCGCACCGACACGGGGCCCTCCAACATCTCGCTGGCCGCGCTGGCGCCGTGCGCGGCCACCGCCAACGGCGCCGACCGCACAGCTCACTCGGTGCTCCTGGACCTCCGCTCCAACGTGCTGCACCCGTACCCGCTGGCCACCAACCCGTCGTTCCTTGCCGGGCGGCGGTGGTACGCCACGACATGATCCTCCACGACGGCCGCGTGCTCATCCTCGGCGGGCGGCGGCAGTCCAACCTCGAGTACTTCCCGCACGCCGATGACGTGGCGCCGGCGCCGGCGCTGACGTTCTTTCCGTTTATAGACGAGACGACGGAGCCCGACGCCGAGAACAACCTGTACCCTTTCGGCCGTTCCTCCACCTCCTCCCTGACGGCACTGTGTTTGTCTTTGCCAATGACCGTGGCGTCGACTTCGACCCATACAACCGTGTGCTCCGCTCCGATGGCTCCCAGCCGTCCCATGCGGCGTGCTGAGGAACTACCCGTCATCTGGCTCATCCGGCTTTGCCCAGACCCGCATATGAGTTTCCTAGTTTGGCCGTACGATTTCTTAGAACAAATGGACGAAAACATAAAAAGTGTTACCTTCTGAATCAAAGGCCTGAACAGAAACGGTGCTCCACGTTCACATGTGAGGCATCACACATCAAAAGGTAGAGATGCACGCCTTCCAGTTCCTCCCAGCTGGAAAAACTGGCTCTAATTACCTTCTTAGTTTAATTTGTGCAACGGCCCTATCAACCTGAAGGGTACCGGATCCTTGGCCATCCTTTACTTTTTCCTAACGGCGTTGCCTACTTCCTGCGTTTCTCAGGGCAATAGGGCATCTCTAGTTAGTTGTACTCCTACAGCATTTTGCTCTGCATTGCACGGGAGCAACATGCTTCAGATGGTTCCCTGCGCGGCCTAAAGCATCCTTAGAGGTCGTATTCAGCCAACCAACCACTGACGAATAATAAGCCATTCGTATTTGCAGAGTTGATTGCATCCATTCGTTGTGATTCAAACCCGACTTTCATTTTTTGTTTGGCGAAGATACCCATCATCGTGGTCCGGTAACTGTGTAAGCAGTAAGCACCCAATATTGATTCAGCACTTCTCCTCGAGCTGTTTCTTTTTCTTTTATTTCAAATATTGACCCTCCCTAGAGATCGCATTGAACGAACCACTGACGAATAAGCCATTCTTATTTGCAGAGCTGATTGCAGCCATTCGTTTTGATTCAAACCCCATCTTTTAACTTCTTCCGTATTTGTTCGGCGAAGATACCCATCATCGTGGTTTCCAGTTATACAAAAATTGTATGTCGCCCCCTTCCTCTCTTCCGTTCTGGTCTGCTTCATTCATCTGCTTCATCTGTTGATCCAATCATCCCCTCTGTTGATCTATTCTCAGGGCGCACAGGTCCGATCGGTGCCAGGTGACAGCTGCCAGCGAGCGAGCTCGTCGATCATCTTGTTCTGTAATTGTAAGCACTCCATATTCCGCACTTGTCGATCTGTTTCTTTTAAATAAATAAATAAATAATCTTAACTAGTCCCTAGAGGTCGCATTGGACCAGCCACCGATCATTTTTTTTAGATATAAAGGGCCGACCATAAGCTATTCGTAATTTCAGAGTTGATTGCAACCATCTGTTGTATGGTTTCCAGTTATACAAAAGTTCCATGTTGTCCCCATCTCCGTTCCCTTCTGGTGTGGTTGCTTCATCTGTTGATATTTATAGGGATTTTTGTCCCCAGGACACTCAGAAAGAGTGGATTTGCGCACAACGCATTGTACTCAATGAATTAGTCACAAACATGTTGCGAAAACATTAGTTTTGTCCATGACACACCATGCCCAGTCAAAGGACCATATTGCCCTTGACACTCTCTTCCCTTCGACTCATTTCCACATTAGACCATGTTTCTGGCTAAAACCAGCAATGATATCACTGCCAGTTTGAGCTATGAACTGGTAATGATATTGGGTCATCACTGTGTTTTTTGGCTAAAAGCACCAGTGATACTATCACGACCGGTTCATGGCTTGATTCGGCAGTGACATGAACTTACTAACTTTCTCATATGATGTCTGATGAAGACTATACCAAAGTTGTAGTACTCGACAAGATCTACAACTTTTTAGTACAAACTTTTTTTATTTGAGATCATTTGAATGTCTAAATATACACCACAAGATTTTATAGAGTTAATATCAAAGGAGTCCATATGCTCTATAGTCACAAGTGAGTGTGTAGTGGTAGTTAAGGATTTCGGATGAAAAAACGACCAAAACAAAAGTTGTAGATCTTAAAAAGTTATGCAACTTTGTAGATCAAAACTTTTTTATTTAAAGTCATTATGATGTCTCTCTGTTTGGTTTGTAAGATTTCATAGAAGTTAATACCAAAGCAATCCATATGTTCTATAGTCACAAGTGGGTGTGTAGTTGTAGTTATCGGATGGAGAAGCGACCAAAACAAAAGTTATAGATCTCGAAGAGCTATGCAACTTTGTAGTTGGCAACGTTTTCATTTGAAATCATCTATTCAACAAAAATTATGTTTAATTTCTCAAATTCAAAATTCAAACTTTTTAAATGGCCTCGGATGGAGAAAAGCTCAAAACAAAAGTTGTAGATCTTGAAAAGTTATGCACCTTTGTAGTTGACAACTTTTTCATTTGAAATCATCTGTCCGAGGAAAATTACGGTTGAATTTCCTCACATCTGAAATTGAAATTCTTTAAATGACCTCGAATGAAGAAATGACCAAAACCAAAGTTGTAGAACTCGGAAAGTTATAAAACTTTGTAGTTGACAATTTTTCATTTGAATTCATTTCATATCTCAAATACTCATTTCAAAACCATATGACATAAAATGGAGAGGACGAATATCCCAAAAGAACACAAACATCTTATGGTCTCAAAAAACACAAACGTCTTGCAGGTGGAGTGGTTAGGGGGGAAATACGCGAAGCCAGAGGTAGGGATTTCGAGCGCCAGAAGTTGATGATGGACAAATTGCAGTAGCCAGCGACGGAGCTAGAAACCTCTAGAGTCTCTCTTTGGTACAAACAAAAAAAATCTCATTGCACTTCGCTGATGGGCCAAGGTGGCCCCTTGTTGTTGCTGGGCGGTGGCATCTGTATTACTGCTCAGCGGCAAAGGAGAGATCTAGTGTGCCTGGTCGAAGCCAACAACACCATTGTTGGCCACCAGAGGGGGAAAAGGAGATTAGGGATGGAGAAATAAAACGCATGCAAAGGGAATGGAGAGTGGGCCCGTGGGCTAGCTAGTCATTTTATTTTCTTGGGTGTGCTGGAGACACAAAACACAAAATCATGGTGTGCTACAAACTTCCTTTTATTGTGGACAAAAATCCCTATATATAAACATTCTCCTCTACCTTGTGGTTGTGTGTGTGTGTGTTTATATTTGAAGCTGTTAAGAGTAAAACAAAAAAATTCTCTGCCACTACCTGCTCAGTTAACTAGGTAGCCATGCCCAACAATAAATAAAGTCGCCTTCGTTCACCAACTAAAGCAGCCCCAGCATAGCCACCGCAGGCACACCTCACGTCTCCTAGCTCACGCCTCCGTTGCCGGCTAGCCGCAATCCTCGCTATCGGCCCTCAGCCCTTCAGACACCACCTACTCCCACCTCCGCCAGCGTCCGTCAAGCAGAGCAGTAGCCCACACCACACCGAGCCAGAGGCCAAATTCAGGCATCTCCAACCGTGCAACTGCTAGGCAAACCACGCCGGCACTTGGTCAAATGTTACGTACTTCGAGTTCCAGCCATCGCTCAACAGGTCTGTTTCCTTGACGCCGAAACTGAAGGACACACACAGCATTCTCTTTTCCCCGCTGCAAATCAAGGTGCATAAGCCTAGTCTTTCCCGGCCCTCTCTATTTTTATTTCCATCCTCTTTCTTTCTTTCTTTCTTTCTTTTTTTCCTTCTAGTTTTTGTTGGAGATATTATACTCTTCTTCCACTCACAAATATACTCACACAAGGGTGACGGCTTGAGATTGGTGTAGCTGCTTTCGATTTTTAGGTGCCCAAGTATATAATATTTCAACATCACCCATAGATCAAACTTCATCATATTCTCGTCTGCTAGCTACTCATTAATTTGTTAACTCCGTTATCGTTTTAGCTTGCTACTATGCCCCAGATCTGGTACCAAAAGTACTCAGTTATCATTTAAATGTGATTATTCTAGTACCTATCTACTGTTGCAGTGTTCCCTTTTGAATAATAGTGCCAAGGTTATAGGGGCCTCGATACTTTTACCATCAAGATTACCTTTCCTTTAAAACAAAACACGTAATTTTTTATCTAATTTTGATTTTGTAGATACCGAAGCAGCAAAAATGGCGGTGGTACTGGATGCTTTAGCATCCTACCTCCAAGACATGTTGTTGGAGATGGCTAAAGAAGAGGTGCATCTGCTCTTATGTGTTCCCAATGAGATAAAAAAGATGGGGATGAAGCTTGGGGACCTTAAGAGGTTCCTCGCCGATGCTGACAAGAGGAACATCAGCGACGAGAGTGTGAAATCATGGGTGAGAGAGCTTAGGAATGCCATGTATGATGCTACCAACATCCTTGATTTGTGCCAGCTCAAGGCGATGGAACGGGGTCGAAGCTGTGATATGGGCTGCTTCAATCCCTTGCTCTTTTGTATGAGGAATCCTCTCCATGCTCATGACATCGGTAATCGCATAAAAAGTCTTAACGAGAGGCTAGATGACATTGAGAAGCGTAGCAAAACCTTCAACTTCGTTAACCTTGCATCTTATGAGGACAACACAAAAAAGGTTGAACCCTCCCTTCGCGCTAGGCGTGAGACAACAGGCGAGGATGAGTTAGGTTTGGTTGGTGAGAAGATTGAGGAGGACACAAGAAATCTTGTGGATTTGCTCACGAAGAAGGACAAAAATGTACATGAACACAAAAATGTTATGGTTTATGCTATTGTGGGAGTAGGAGGGATTGGCAAAACCACCCTTGCCAAGAAGATCTTTAATCATGACTTCATCAAACAAGAGTTTCAAAAGAGAATATGGTTGAGTGTCAATCAAGAATTTAGCGATGCTGATCTATTAGAGAGAGCTATCACTGAAGCACAAGGAAACCATCAAGCACCAAGAAACACAAAGGCCGCACTAGAGCGAACCCTTAAGGAAGCCTTGAAGGACTGCAAGACTTTATTGGTGATGGATGATGTCTGGGACCACCATGCATGGGAGGGTGTCCTCAAAACTCCATTATTAAGCGTCCTAGCCCAAGGTAGTTGTGTCCTCGTTACCACAAGACATGACATGGTCGCCAAAGGCATGATGGCGGAGGTGCCCTACCACCATGTCAACAAATTAGAGCAAGAAGATGCCTGGTCTTTGCTCAAGAAGCAGGTTCGTATAAGTTAATTTATAGCTTTATTTTGTTACACATTCATGCATGCGCATTTGCTACACTATCTATTCAGATGTCGGTAATCTTGCACATTTTCTTCAAATTTGCTTTACTATCTATTTATAAAATTGTGTCTTGAGAGGAATCATTTCATTCATCAACCTAAACCTATAAAATGATGTGGCACTCTTAGAAACCACATAAAGAAAATCTACACTGAAGATGCCCTTATGCGCATGGTTGTACAAAATAGTTATTTGTTTTAGCATTAATATTAGAAATCTAGGGTCTGTAAACCACTTTCAAAACACTACTACACAAACATTATCACCGCTTGCTTGAAAACCACCATCACCACTGGTTTTGCGATTCGGCGGTGATGCTCACCTTCATCACCGCCACATTGAAACCGATATTGAAATTTGAATAAAAATAATTAAAAAATACACGTGTCATGTGTGCCTGCAGTCGTCCATGATGGTCTACGCTAGCTGCCCCTAGCGGCCAGGATTGTGACATCGAGATCCATCTCTATGTTGGGCGGCGTCCGCCATGCTGCTGAGGGCCATGGGTGGTGTCTGCTCCCGCGCCGATGGTAGATCCGATCTTCGGGCCGTGGTGCTACAATGGGATAGAGAGGGGGCCCGGAGGGAGTGCTGGTGAGGGAGAGATGGGGCGGAAGGAAGTGCTCGAGTAAGGGAGAGAGAGGTGGTCAGTAGGTGGGGTGTCGGTGAGGGAGTGAGAATGGGCTAGGGTTTCTGACCGGCTATATACTCAAAACCGGTTTTCACTGCTACAAATGGTGGTGAAAGCCATTTTTATCAATGGTTCAATTACCGGAGGTGATATATTTTTACTGATGTTTCTAATAGAATCAAAATAGTGTTGGCGAAATCCATTTCTATAGTAGTGAAATGTCATTAAAGAATCATGAACACAGAGCATGATAAAGAACAGGCGAAATAAAAGCCTAAAAGGAATAAGCGTAAACTACAAACAATAATAAAATCTTACATTACACAAATGACTGTAGGTGCTTGTGAAGTTTCGTAAGAGCTCATGTACAAGCATTATTACATTGTTACTAATACTTGTGGTTGCAACTCTATAGATTTTTTTGAGAGCCTCAACTCTTTAGATGGTCATGAGATTAAAATTTCTAAACTTTTACTCTACTGTATCCTTTCGTTGCAATTTCTGGTGCTTAGGTTTAATATCTCCAAGACCAAATCCCATCTTCCACGGTCTGATAAAGAATCAGCAATTTATAGCCTGTACTATTAAAGCCAATCAGGACTGGACATTACTGTTTAATGATGGGAATGTTAGGCTTTCTCTTGTTATCCTTTTCTCTAACAACCTTTTCAGACTATTATAATTTTACTAGATCCTGTAAACATGTTAAAATAAAATCAATGATTTAAAGTTCTATTCTGAACATGGCGTAAAAAGTTAGGAAAAGTACTCACGTGGCCTTTGGCATATATCCTGATTGACAAGTTTTACCACAGACACTTGAGTAATTGTCCATGTAACTTGCCTCACTTGTCTCATCTCTAGATTGGTTAAAAAGCTAAGGATACAAGGGATATCACATTAGGCTTACCTGCATCCAAGAGAGTATGAATAAGGGAGAAAAACGTAGCTTCTTCAGGTCAAGTTGTGCAGACTTTAATAACCTTTCCAGTTGGATCCTAATAATTGACTTCCGTCCATTCGTTTTTCTACCAGGGGTGTTTGGTCCTTTTATAAATAATCTCATGATAAGTTGCAACAAAATTGAACATATAGTGTCAAATTGGAATAAAAAAATAAACCAAATGTCACAAAGGGACGAATTTATTTTCTAGGATCATATACCCAATCTTTGGTTTTCAAACGAGGACTAGCTTCATGTAGGTTTGTATTGGGACCGATTAGTTAATTACTGAACCATCAGCAGGGACAGATGTTCGTTAAAATAAATCCTCTGGTTTCTCTGGTTCCTTCTTTCACCTTCAACCTGGCCGATAGCAGGACCAATTTCTGACAACACCGTGGCTGTATAGTTTGCATCTTCCATGATCCATGCTATACATTTCGGTTATTAGCATAAAGATGGGTTAATATATCGACCAATCAAACATACATACATTAGGATATTTTTAGTTAATAGATCATCAAGTGCTAAACTGTTACTTAACAAACCACATATAAATGACACTGATAATTTATTTTAAATTACATTACTATGGCATGACAAAAAAGTTTACAAGTTTTTATTTCAAATAGTTTTATAAAATTTGACTCAAATACTATGTCATATCAACACTGGTAATTTAATTTTGATTATTCTATATTTTTATAAAAATAATACTTCTACTACATATACAATTTTCGAATGTAGCAAGTTCAAAATCTTAGGCCCTCCTTTTGGATGCAGATGTATTTTTGGAGTTTTAGAAAAATACCATGCTTTTATGAAATACTTTGATTTTATTAGAGTTGTATGAAGTGTTTTGATGCAACAAATTTTATGGTTTTGAAAACCAGAGTTTTGCTAAATTTGTAGTGTCTTTAGAGTTTTATAAACTCATATCTAGACCTCTTTGTTGCTAAATCATGGTTTACCACATCTATAAGTTCTAAAATAGTTGTTTCTTAATACTACGTCTCTTAATACTACAACATCCAAACATGGCCTTAAGTGCCATAGTGCAGGCTGACATGATAGTTCATACCATTATTAATAGGCAAGTGGGTAGCATAGGACCTAGCACTACCGCAAACACAGGCCATCATTGTCGGACCATCATTGTTGGTTGCTTTGGAACCGGTAGTGATAGTACAACTGACAGTGATAGATGAACTTTCACAAACGAATCGAACTTTCACGAACGAATCGTGGCTACAAGTGATAGTGACAGGCAGTGTACTATCACGGCTGGTTATAGCCACCAACATGCAGTGTAGGACCACCCGTCGTGGCCGGTTTGTGGCTACAACCAACAGTGATAGTCTATTTTATGAAAAAGTAATAACTTTTTCATATGATGTATGATAAGATAAGCTTTATACGTTCAAAAAGATTTAAAACTTTGTAGTTAACAACTTTTTAATTTAAGATGGTTTACATATCAAAATATTCTATGTATGTTCACCAATGGGATTTGAGATGGTTAATGATGTCGAATGGAGACAAAGTCAATAGTTGAGTGAGTAGTCGATGAGATCGATCTACAACTTTGCAGTTAACAACCTTTTCATTTGAGATCATTTGGAGTATCAAATATGCAATATAAGATTCAAAATTGTGTAGTTAAAAGAATAGCATCAGTTGTATAGTCACAAGTGTTGCATAGCTCTGCTGGTATAGATGCTCAGGAGAATGTTGAGATCTTGAGTTTAAATACTGTCATTGTCGGTTACTGGCAGTGAAGATGCAGTAATCTGGCGTACATTTTGTGCTTTTTTATCACTTATCACTATCAGTACTTGGCAGTGAGAAGCAGTCTGGCATACTGTACAACCTTTTTTAATAAAATAAGAAAAAATTAAATAAAAGATACAATAAATACTGGAGTGACTATAAACATCAGGTAGACGAGAGTTGGTAATGATAGTGACTGATGAGAACACTATTCTTGTACACAATCACATACGTCACCTAATTGCACCGTAGTGGTATACATATACGATGATTTTTCCATCTATTTTAGTGGACTGGTACATTGGTCATACGCTTAGAAAGTCGCATGTGAATTTTGCCTCTGCACACAGTATCATTTACTAGCACTTGATTTTCCTTCCAATTAAATGACCAAGTGTATTTATATCTACATATTCCATTCAATTAACAAGCTTAAGTTGCTTTGCAGGTGGTTGGAAATGAAAACAATGATGAACCAAAGGTTGATGCATTGAAGGACATTGGAATGTCGATTATAGCAGAATGTGATGGTTTGCCTCTCGCAGTCAAAGTAATAGGAGGCCTCCTCTGCCAGAAAAACATAAGGCGAAGCGATTGGACAAAGGTCCTTAATGATTCTACATGGCCAGTATCTCAAATGCCTGAAGAGCTAAACTATGCAGTATACCTGAGCTATCAAGATCTGAACCCTGAGTTGCAGTCTTGCTTTCTGCACTACGCCCTCCTCCCAAAGAACACGGTGTTCGGGTATGACCGTATTGTTGCCATGTGGATTAGTGAAGGATTTGTTCATGGAAACTCCCAGGATTTGGAAGTGTTAGGAAAAGAGTACTATGACCAGTTAATAGCTAGGAACCTTCTAGAGCCTGATCCAAGGTATGTGGACCATGGAGTTTGCAATATGCATGATATTGTTCGTTCATTTGCTCAGTATTTGACTAGAGATGAAGCACTGGTAACTCAGAAAAGTGAGGCTGGCCTTATCAACAATATTAATCCACAAAATATTATTCGGATATCACTAAAACCAATGGATCAGAATCAAATGGGCTAGGGTGGAGTTCTCTGCAAGCACATATATCACCACGAACTCTAATTTTTGCTGGGAAAATTAAGATTAACCCAGGTGATTCACTGTCATGTTTTCCATGTTTGCGGACCCTACATATAGGAGATGGAAATTTTGATGCATTGTCTAAATCCTTGGTCCAACTCAAACACTTGAGGTATTTGTGTCTAGATGGCACTGACACATCTAGGCTGCCAGAAAAAATAGCCAAGATGAAATTATTGCAGTGCATTGACCTTTCTAATTGTAAAAGAATGGTGAAGCTTCCTGGTGGCATTGGAAAGTTACGGCAGCTGAGGTATCTAAGCCTTCTTAACTCAGGTATAAATAATATACCCAAGGGTTTCAATGGCCTAACTAATTTAAGGGTATTGAAGGGGTTTCCTGCCCACGTGGAGGGTGATTGGTGTAGTTTGGAAGAATTAGGACCTCTTAACTGGCTCACGAGTCTTCGTATACATGGCCTGGAGAATGTATCTTCTTCCTCATTTGCTATAAAAGCCAGGCTTGGTGAAAAGGTGTGCCTCAGCTATCTGTACTTACAGTGCACTAGTAGTAGTGGAGGTGCTCACCAGATGGTGAAACAGGAAGAGCAGCAACACATCGAGAAGGTGTTTGATGAGCTCTGCCCTCCGCCTTGCTTAGAAAAACTAGCAATCGAAGGGTACTTTATTCAACGACTTCCGAAGTGGATGACGTCGACAGCAATTGTGTCCCTTGGATGCTTGAGGATTCTATTCATGGAAGACTTGCCTTATTGCATAGAGCTACCTGACAGCTTGTTCCAGCTACCCAGCTTGGAGTTCCTACAGATTAGTAGTGCCCCAGCCATCAAGCATGTTGGGCCAGAGTTCTTACTACCACACCATCATGAGCACCCAAGCGCTTTGGAAAACTTTGGTTCTGATTTGAAAATTGAGGTGAGTAGATGTCATGGACTAGAGAGGATCAGTAATCTGCCAAATTTGCAGAACCTCGTGATCATAGAGTGCCTAGAGTTGCAGGTACTAGAGGGTTGGCCTGCACTTCATAGACTCACACTGGAGGACTACGACATGAAAACACTCCCTGGATACTTGAAGGACGTAAACCCAAGGGATTTGCATGTAGACTGCGACGTCCCGCTGCTCGCTTCCATAGGTAAAGGGAAATCTAGTCTTGAGTGGGACAAGTTCAGCCATATCAAGCAGGTCAATGCATATGCAGATGATGATGACAACAACATTGAAAGGAAGTGGTACGTGAAGTACACGATAGATCCTTTCAGCTTCAAGACAAACATCAGCCCCTCTGCCGATGCTTCAGGTAAATTAACACAACACTGCTGCTTTATATGTTGCATATACTGAGCACCTTTCTTGCTATTGGAATACTGAGCACCTTTCTTTCAGGTAAATTAACACAACACTTGCTATTGGAATATCAGGGGATGAAACAGAGGAGGTGTTATTGGACAAAGCGGAGCAAGTTTGAAGGAATTCATCGTGGAACAACAGAGGGAGTAACAATAAAGTATGCATGCTACTCCAAGACTATTATTATTACTACATACGTCTCTAGCACTATCGATTATAGAATGCATAAAAGACCTCGCCTGCAGGTGGAGTGCCGCATGGACAAAAGGCAGCCTTGGAGGCTGGAGCTATCATCGCTTCGGCCGAAGAAGAAGCAATGGAGCCGATTACTACGCTGCGGGTCGTCGTGAGGCAGTCAGATGTTGGACACTGCAAATAAATTCATGGTGACTAGAATGCGATGTGATGTGAATTAGTTTTTTTATTCGAATCTGTGTTACTGTGGATGCAGGTTACCACCTGAGAATACAGAGCCTTGTACATATAATTAAGTTGTGAGTCGTCATGTTACAAAACAAATGTTATGATACAGCTTATTCCGGCTTGCGGATTCATTGTGAGCCTGAAAATGTACGTAGGTTGCCAAGTAAATGTTCATATATATGCTGCCAGTGCCATGAGAATGCAGCTTCCTAACGAGGCTCCTTTTATTTTTCAGATATTTAAATTAGTAGCAATATAAAGGACCGAAAAACGGTGACCAGAGGGGATGAATGGGAGCCGTAAAATTTCTCTCGAAATATTTTGGCGCTGTCCCTAAGTCACCGCCAAACAAGCAAACCAAAAGAAGTTCCCAAATCTAAAATATCCATGCCAACTGGTGACGAGAATACTTAGATAAGTTCGTTGAATCGATGGAAAACCAACGCAAAAGATGGAACTTAAATCCGAAGCGCAAACCACGGATGAAACAAAAAAAAAACAGGGCTGGAAATTCGAACCTGCAAGACCACCGAAGGGCACCAGACACTGCCGAGCGGTGCACCGCACGATCAGGAGGCGGTGTACACCGACAGCCGAACAGAACCGAGAGAAAAACCACAAGAACGGAGGGAAACAGCTACCACACGTACCGAGCGGAGATGGAGAGAGGAACAACCAGCGGTGGGTCTGCTCGCCGCCGGCCAGATGCTGCGCTGCCAATCTGAGACAGACAGAGAGCAAGCACCGAAGGAAGTAGAGACAGGGAGGAGACCGACGAGAGGATGGCCACCTGGGCGAGCACCGGCTCGGGCCTGGTGAGCACGGTGCTGGTGCTCAGTTGCTCGTCTCCCCACACGCAAAAGACGAACAGGAAAAGCAGTGCCTCTGCTAGGCACGAACAGGGAGAAAGAGCGACCAGAAAATCAAAAGAAAAACGACCCAAATCTCCATCATTCGTTCCAAAAATTTACAAAGATGGAATTCAACTTGCTACGAATCTATCCTCAAGAAATCATCGCCTGAGATCGACCCAAACTCTGAGAAATTCAGATTGTAGCCAAGAACGAAAATGGAGAAAAACGAACAACGCAACAAATTATAAGTGCCCCAGCCATCAAGCATGTTGGGCCAGAGTTCTTACTGCCACACCATCATGAGCACCCAAGCGCTTTGGAAAACTTTGGTTCTGATTTGAAAATTCAGGTGGCCGGATGTCCTAGCCTGGAGAGGATCAGCAATCTGCCAAATTTGCAGGACCTCATGATCATAAGATGCCCAGAGTTGAAGGTATTGGAGGGTTTGCCTGCACTTCATAGACTCACACTGGAGGACTACGACATGAAAACACTCCCTGGATACTTGCAGGACGTAAGGGATTTGCGTCTAAACTGTGACATCTCCCTGCTCGCTTCCATAGCTGAAGGGAAATCTGGCCCTGAGTGGGACAAGTTCAGCCATATCAAGCAGGTCAATGCATATGCAGATGATGATGACAACAACATTGAAAGGAAGTGGTACGTGAAGTACACAGGCGATCCATTCAGCTTCAAGACAAACATCAACGTCTCTGCTGACGCTTCAGGTAAATTAACACAACAGCTGCTTTATACGTTGCATACTGAGTATGTACCTTTTTTGCTGTTGGAATATCTCGTCACTTGACTGCATGTGACGTTTCAGGGGATGAAAGTGTTGTTGGATGAAGTGGAGAAAATTTCAAGGGACAAAATCGAAAAAGAATGTGTCAATGTGGAACAACTGAGGGAGTAATCAAGTATGCAACATACAGTTCTTGTTACTAGTTGTTCGTAAGGGGCGTATAACACTGCAGATTATATAATGCATATGACCCTTGCATGCAAGTAGAGTGCCCGTCTGTGACCTACATGGACAGAAGGAACCTTGGAACCGTCATCGCTTTTACTGAAGAAGCAACAATGCAGAATTTGTGATGTGAGTTTATTCCTTTTTTTTTTTGCCTGCGGGTTGTTCTTAGGCAGTCAGATATTTGACATGCAAATAAAATGAGACAAGAATGTTATGTGAATTTGTTCATTTTTCTTCAGTGATTTGTGTACACGTTACAGTTGAATTTCCATGCAGTTTGCCACTCGAGAATTGAGAGGCATGTGTATATATAAGTTGAGTCGTTACAGAACAAACGTTATGATACAGCTTCTTTAAGCTTGGATGGTTTATGGTGTGTCTGGAAATGCAGCTTGCCAAGTGGATGTACATAGCAAGCCTCACTTCAGTTTCTGGTTTGTTAATACTGGAAATGGTGTGGGCTGCTTCTATCTATCTCAAGGCAGGTCATGGAAAACCGACAATGTAAAGGCCAGATCCTTTGCGCAAATTAATTCTGAGGCGTTCAGAGCAGAAGATTGTTCTGATTAATAAAAATGTGGAGAGATACATTTGGCCTCAGTTTAGCATTTTGGCACATTAATCATTGCTGCCGATAACTCGGGCAAAAGATTGCCCGAAGCGCAAAATAGTTAGCGAGGGTCATGCCATAAGCTTCTCATCACCGGCAATGCACGACTCAAATCTAAGAAGTCCTCTGTGTAAGAAATCGCCTCTGTAATCCGCGTGACACACTGCCTCTGTAATTGGATTTTCAAAGACGGCCTCATAAGAAGGCCATCTCTGAAAATGACCTTATTTTCAGATATGGTCTTTTTAACGCCTCTGAAAATCTATTTATAGAGGCAGGGAGAGATTTTTAGAGGCAATGGAAGAAAATGTCCGCCTCTGTAAATAAAACCCACTGTCTCCTGAAATCATTTTTGTGGTAGTGTTGTTGTAGACGGTCTATACCAAATAAGATTAATTTAGAAAGCAAGAACAGAAAAGATCATCTGATCCTGAAATTAAAAAAAAATAGAAAAGTGAATGTTACTTATGCAAGATGATTTAGTATTATCTCTTTCCCATATAACATTATTTAACAAACAGAGAACCAAATGTGGGTAATATATGATTAGAAGAGCCACCATGGTGATGTCTGAAAACCTCTGGATTAAGTGAGGATATGGCACATTGCATCAGATGCTATATATCCCAGTGCCATCCATTTCATATAATAGTATTTTAGAAATAGACAAATATTTTGATCAAACATCATATTCTGTGCATTAAATGCATCAGCAAAGCATTGTAAGTTCACACCGTACCCAAAAACCATTACATAGGGCACTTTATGCTTGCCACCGATAAACTAGATCATGAAAATTCTCTAGAATGAATGACCTCAATAGTAGTTCTATTATTAGCATGATTAAGTAAGACATACGTGTACAGAACACAGGCAGCTTTCGATTTATGCACGATAAATAACCAGTGTTAAATAACTATAAGCACATAGTGGTGGAACGAATACATGACCAAACAACAACTACAGCAAAAAAAAGAATCTACTACAGCATTTATTTCAACGCCTTCTCCTCACCAAACAATTATACCCTAATAATGAAATATTTTGATTCGTGAACTATATGTAACAAGGAACATGAATCGTGTTAGGTGTTATTGTGTTGATGACATATAACATGAAGTCTCAAACACGTTCATACTCATTCCACGGTCTACTGAACTTTCTACCAATATCTTCAGTGTTACACACTCACCAGAAATTAACTCATTACCTCATTTGGGCTCGAGCGTGGCGATCCATTTTCATAGTGGGCCAACTGGGCTGACATAAAGTAAGGATGCAAGTGGCAGCCGTTTTGGTATTTTATAGGTCGAAGTAGTTTAGTTTGTTTCTTCCCCTAGACTAGATTAGTTGAACGTTGTAACACCCGGTTTTAAGGGCAAAACCTGATGCACACCATATGTGAGTCTTTATAAACAAATCTCACATATAGCTACAAATGAGGGGTGATATCAAATAACAATGCTTAATAACATAATGTACATAGTATAAAAGATATAACCTTAGGAACAATCAACGAATAAACAACTCTGATCTCCGGGTGTAGACTCCACTCCACTGGATCCAAACTGACTGGTTGATCACAAGCATAACTCCTTTGAAAACTAGCAATCTGAACTTCGTCCTGAGGTGTGGGGGAAATTGCAAGAGTGAGTCCATGTCGAACTCAACAAATATAGCCAGGGGTTTATGAGGCTCAATAAGCTGACACCGGTTTACTGTGGTTAGCAATTAATTGATCATCCAATTTAGCATTTATTAGCATCAAGATAGTAGCAAAACCCATTTACACATGATCAATGAACATGAATAATAAATATCTTAAACAATTAACATAAATGATCATCTTAACAAGTAAAAGTCATTATCCCTTAATGTAAGTGTTCCAAGGTCGCTCGTATCCGTGAGCACGGCTAGTATACCAGTTTGTTAACTCTGCGCAAAGGTGTACACTTTCACTGTGAGTCATGTTTCCCAAATGAGTGGGTTAATTACTCCCAAAACACCGGAAACCATATAAAGCCACACAAGAGCTCGTCTAACTGGTCAGGGCCACAGGGTCATCAGATATAGGAACCCCCCTTCCAATAATATAAAAGGCCGCTTCCATAGCTAGGCTCAATAGGACAGAGGTTGTCCTATACCCAACTCGCAGACCTCTAACCAGCTAGAAAAGGGTTTCTCAAGCAACTAAAGCCAGAGCCATATAGCCCTCACAGCTGTACGTTAAATCCCGGATAATCAGTTACAAGACAAGTCCTTCTGTTGCTAGAAAGTCATCTTGTTTATGTTTATAGCATATTCATTAATCAAGTTTCAAGATCATGATTGTTGCACTAGCAATAGAACTACCCAATGCAAACCTCCCAGGGTGCCAAGGTAATTGAGTATTCAAAAGCTAGGAAATCCTACCATAGGTAGCAAGGAAGACACATGCATATGTATTTTAGTGAGCATCATGAATAGGACAACAAGGAAGGTCCTTAGCTATACTTGCCTTGATCAAAGTTCTCCTGAAAGTCTTGCTGGTCGTAGAAGTTCTCTTGATCACCAACGCAAACCTCACCGTCTGAACTCGATCAACAACACCAAGCAGCAACATATAATCATCCGAGCAATCATGCATGAAGCAAACAAAGGGCTATAATTAGAACAATACACCACCAGCAAGAAAACAGTTTGAAAAGTTTATAAAACTATTCTACACGTTGCTACGATCACACAGACGCGAAGATCACGAAAAACGGAGTTACAACGAGAAAGTTATGATTAAAACAAGTTTCCCTATTAAAGAAATAGATTAAATCTAAACTCGAAATTTAAAGTTCAAAAACATGGTGAAAAATTATATGAACAGATAGATCTCAAAAAGACGAATCTAACGCAAGTTGAACAGTCCAATTTGGAGTTAAAACGAATAAGTTATGAGCAATTAAAGGCAGTGGCAAAACTGTAATTAGATGGATCTTTAATTTTGAATCTGCTAAATGAAAAATGCGTTTTCCAAAAAGAGAATACGTATTCTCGGGAATACGTTATGGACTGCGGGTTCTATTACTGAAAAGCACAGGGGCTCTTTAGCAAGTTTGCCACCCGAAGGGGTATCGGCATCTAATGGCCGTTGGATCAAGGATGGATGGATCGGATTAGATGAAGAGAGGGAGAGGAGACCGGCTCGCCGGGAAAGACGACCAAAACGGCGGCGGCCATCGCCGGCGGCGACCGAGCTCGCCGGAGCTCACGGTTTGGGCGAACCAGTGCACCAAATCACACGGGACCGGTACGGATCGAAAGAGAATCACGAGGCGAACTCATCTAGGGCAACGTATCGGGTCGAGGCGAACCGAGGATGGCGTGCAGCTCGCGGAGGCAGACGGCGGCAATCTGCAAAGTTCGGCGACGTAAGTCGAGCGTCTCAGAGCATGAAAAAGAAATAGGATGAGCTCGGCATCTTCGCGGGACCAACACGAAGCTCGGGGACCGGCCAATTACGAAGATGGAGCGACGGGTCGGCGGAATCGACGGTGCGGCGGCGATTAGGGTTTTGGCGGCGGGAGGTGCTCTGTGAGCGAGGCGGCGGTGCTGCGGCTTGCACTAGGGTTGAGGGAGGAGCGTGCGGACGCGGACGCGCTCTCTATTTAAGGCGGCTCGACGTGGAGGACACGCCAAACGGAGAGGAGGCGGACTCCAGGTCGGGCAGAGTCCTGATCGGGGACGACAGCAAGGTAGGGGATGACCCTGACCGGTGGGTCCCGTGCATCAGCGGCAGCAAAGGAAGAGGTGGAACGCTGCGCGCGCGGGCTGGCCTCGCTGCTGGGCCTCGGCCATCCGGCCCAGGAAGGAGGGAGGAGGAGCGGGCCTGCTCAGCTTGGCGAGCTGGGCTTGGCTACTTGCTGGGCCAAAAGCCAAGAGAGTGAGAGAGGTGAGGTTTTATCCTTTTCTTTTTAGTTTTCCAAACTTTTGAATACAATTTCAAAGAGATTTTGAAATCCTTTTGACTTTTGAATAAAATCCAGTCACCCCAAAATAAATAATGCGGCAGCATGTATGCACAAACATGTATCTAACTTTGAAGTTCATTTTATTTTCATAAATTTATTATTTTACCTATGTTAAATGCTCATATAATTAACACAAATAAATCAATTCATCTATTTTAAATTCAAACAAATTTTAGGGTGTTACAAACGTGGCAGCATTGTAATTCATTTTTATCAAGTTTCGGGTCACACACAATGACCGAAAATATATAGAACTTGAATCTCTATAGATAAGGTCTATTGTTTGATCTTGGTAAGGACCGACCTGTCGTTGTTGTTGGTCCGGTAGAAGTGTCCAAAAGAATTGAAAGAGTCTTAAGTTGTCTTGAAAGAAATGGAGTAAAAGGAACTGCTAGATGATGCTAAACACTGGGATCGGGTCGGACTCGACTTGGGCCAATAAAAAATTGTCATCTCAAAATTTTTGGTCCGTCGACGCACTGGCAGATGAGATTAGATCAGGTTTTACTACTTTGGGTCAGCTTTCTTAGGTTGGATCGGGTCATGGGTCTAAAATCATAACTCGAATCTGACCCGACATACCAGCCAGTTAAGTCAGGTCAAAAAAATTTGGAAGGTCGAGTTAGGTGGCCCATGATCAAAATTCATATCCACACGGAGGATGTGTAAACGGTAATGCTTGGTTGAGGGCGTCCGTCCATCCATCCGGACCAACCCCCACATGCACGTGACGACCAAGAAAAAAAAGCAGGGCGTGTAGTTGAAGTCAGTCGGGGCCTGCACCGGTCCTTTTCTATGGGGCAGCGCATGGGAGCATGGGCGGCTTCTCGTTCGGCGTGGGGTGCATGCGGCACGGGGCAGCGCATGGGAGCTCGTGCGGCCACTCATTCTGTGTGGGGCGTAGGGCAGCGCATGGGAGCGCATTTGGCCTCGCTCAGTGTGGGGTGCATGCAATGCGTAAGGGCCTCTGCATGCGCTGTGACCAGAGAGAGAAGGACCGGCAGAGAGAAGGAGCGCGGGGCCCGCATACTCTATGGCACCAGCTCCGTATGTTTCATGCTTTTAGATGTATATTTCATATGTTTCATTTGGATGTTGCATGTGTTTCATCCGGATGTTGTATGTGTTTCATCTGGACGTTGCATATGTTGCAATGGTTATACAAGTATGTTGCAAGTGTATATTTTAAATGTTTCATCTATTTTAGACGTATGTTGCAAGTATTTTATTTGAATGTTGCATATGTTTCAATGGCTATATACACATGTTGCAAGCGTCTATTCAAAATATTCCATCTGTTTTAGACGTATATTGCAAATGTTTTTAGCTAGATGTTGCATATGTTGCGGTTGCTATACACATATGTTACAATAGTATGTTGCAAATGTTTCACCTGTTTCAGACATATGTTGCAGAAGTGCTTCATGTTGCAACATTAGCAGGCACAGTAAGCGGGCGCATGCGGAGGCAGTCCATGCAGGCGCAGTGGTCCCCACGTGCGTGGCAAGAGAAGCGGGCATGGGTGGTCCCCACCTACATGCGCATTAGGCGCACAACTGCATGCGAAGACGTATCAACTTACAGGGGCAGGTGTGCAGGCTTAGCAGTTGCATGCGGCAAGTAGGGTGGACGTGCAGGCGTAGCAACTGCATGCAGGGCAGGCTTAGCAGCAAGCGTGGCAGGCGGGACGGACGCAGCAGGCGGTGCGGGCGCGGGCATCCGAACGTCCGGGCACTAGGCACGCCCGTGCACAAAGCATGCATGGCACGCTAAACCTTTGGCCACAAAACAAACCGATGGCCTATTTGGTTGATGCTTAGCTTTGCCACAAAGTTCAAAGAAAATTAAGATTAAATAAACTACCGCATTCACAAAAATTACAGCCAAGAAATCTTGTGTCACGATTGTAGCAAAATTTAGCATTTAACAAATGCCCTCTCTTCTCCGCCATGTCTCTAGCCACTACACACCACTGCATGGGGGGAGGGTAAGGGAAGGGGGATTGATTTGATCTCCCCTTTCTTTTGAGGGATTGAGGGGTGGTTTTCTCAATTAATAAAACAATAGTGTAAGGAGATTAGAAAGGGATCTAGTGGAGTTTACTTTTTGCCTTCAATCTTTATTATCACTAGTTATAGAAAAAGGGGATCATTTTATTCTTAATCCGGTGAAGATATGCTCTGACATCCCTCGGTTCTCATGTTGATCTTATACGTAATGAACATCCTTTTACCGGCTTACTTGATTTTTAGTGTTTCAAGGTAGGTTTGAACTACTTATATTTGAATCAAGTTAGTGTAATAAATTATACTTCCTCACTCTAATTTGTAAACCACTTCTATTTGTAACCCTATGTATCAATGTGTTGTACTCTATCCCAGACTGCGATAGATGGTGTCATCCTGGTCCTTCGACCCTCAACAGACTACCAGATTATAGAGTTCAAGTGCGCAGCTGCTATTAATCCTCAAGATGCCGGCCATCATAATTGAGCTCTTATAAATTGGGTGATTCTACCTCAGGAGGTTTCCGGGATTTGGTCCGAAACATCTGAATTTCTGCAAAATTCACCTATTTCGGTGAGGGCTAAAACAACATTGCACCAGTCAAAAAGTTGGACAAGATTTGAACTTTAGTCTAGTCTAGAGTTCAAACAAACTCGCAAGTTCTTCCTTCAGTGTAAAACTGCATACTTCTAATCATTAGTTTCCTCTTTATGCCGGCCTCTTGATCAAATTTTGGCAAAAATTCAGCTAATTATTAGCTAAACCTGAATATTTTCACTGGTCAGCAGAATGAATGCAGGTCCAAAAATTGCAAGATTCACCTAATTCCGTTGAGTCCAAAAAGTTTGTATCATTTAAATCGCATACCCGGTTCCATGCATGAAATGCGTATTCCCCATTTCCCCACAACCTTCCCTGTACCAACCCTCCACCAACACAACGTCACAATGCGAAGCAAGTATGCAACACACTCTGTACACCCTACCTTAGCTTATCACATTGCAAGGATGCATGAAAAGGCTTAAAGATCGCATGCTCAACAGCCATGCCCAAGCCAAGATCCTTCCTTCTCCACCTTCTCCTGATCGCCAGCTGCATTGCCAATGGCGCCACCGCCGATGATGCCCCGTCCCAGGGAGAATGGCAGCTCCTCCACGCGAGCATCGGCGTGTCGGCGATGCACATGCAGCTGCTCCCGGGGGACTTCGTCCTCATGTTCGACCGCACCGACACGGGCCCCTCCAACATCTCGCTGGCCGCGCTGGCGCCGTGCGCGGCCACCGTCGACGCCGCCGACTGCACGGCGCACTCGGTGCTCCTGGACCTCCGCTCCAACGTGCTGCACCCGTACCCGCTCGCCACCAACCCGTGGTGCTCGTCTGGGGCGCTGCTCCCCAACGGCACGCTCCTCCAGACCGGCGGCTTCTCCAGCGGCGACCGCGTCGCGCGGCTCTTCTCGCCGGCCACGGGCTGGGTCGAGCTCCCCTCGTTCCTCGCCGCGCGGCTGTGGTACGCCACCGACATGATCCTCCCCGACGGCCGCGTGCTCATCCTCGGCGGGCGGCGGCAGTTCAACCTCGAGTACTTCCCACACGCCGACGCAGCGCCGGCGCTGACGTTCTTCCCGTTCCTGGACGAGACGACGGAGCCGGACGCCGAGAACAACCTGTACCCGTTCCTCCACCTGCTCCCCGACGGCACCGTCTTCGTCTTCGCCAACGACCGCGCCGTCGTCTTCGACCCCTACAACCGCGCCCCGCTCCGCCGCCTCCCGCCCGTCCCCGGCGGCGTGCCGCGGAACTACCCGTCGTCGGGCTCGTCCGTGCTCCTCCCGCTCCGCCCCGACGCGCCCGCGCACGCCGAGGTGCTGGTCTGCGGCGGCGCGCGCCGCGGGGCGCGTACCACCTGGCGCTGCGGAACGGCACGTTCGTGGCCGCCGACCGGACCTGCGCGCGCGTCGCGCCGACGGACCCGGACCCGGTGGTGTGGGCGATCGAGGAGATGCCGATGGCCCGGGTGATGGGCGACATGGTGCTGCTGCCCACGGGCGACGTGCTGATCGTGAACGGGGCCGCGGCGGGCAGCGCCGGGTGGGAGCTGGGGCGGGACCCGGTCACGCGGCCCGTGCTGTACAGGCCCGACGCGCCGCTGGGGTCGCGGTTCGATCAGTCGTCGCCGCTGGCGGCGTCGGCGGTGCCGCGGATGTACCACTCGTCGGCGGCGCTGGACACGTACGGCCGCGTGCTGGTGGGCGGCAGCAACCCGCACGTCGGGTACGTGTTCGCCAACGTGACGTACCCGACGGAGCTGAGCCTGGAGGCGTTCCTGCCGCCGTACATGGACCCGCGGCACGACAGCGCGCGCCCGCGGAGGTCGGGTACGGCGAGGCGACGGCCGTGAAGTTCAGATACCCGCCGGGATGATGGCGGAAGGTGCGGGTGCGGGTGCGGGTGCGGGCGGGGAGGTGGTGCGGGTGGCAGCGGTGGCTCCGGCGTTCGCGACGCACTCGTTCGGGATGAACCAGCCCGTGGTGGAGCTGGCCGTGGGGAGGGTGGCGGAGATGGACGTCGGGGTTTACGAGGCCGTGGTCGCCGCGCCGCCGATGCCCGGGGTGGCGCCGCCCGGATACTACAAGTGGTTCGTGGTGCACGCCGGCGTGCCCAGCAGCAGCGCCGCGTGGGTGCGCATGCGGCCGCTCGGACCAGGCACCTGATTGAATGGCCTGAGACTGAAAGTCCAGAGATGCATTTTGCGTGCGTGGTCGTGGTTTGACTTTTCACTACCGATACTTGTAGTAGGACAGATTGAAGTTCAACTATACACATCAAGGTTTGCAATGGAAGAAATTCCAAATTTTACAGTCACAGTGGACTGGATCCCTCAAATGGCCAAAGGCTATATCAATTTTTTCGGATCATATAATTATAATGTAACTTCCCTTACCATTTTTCTTTCTCCAGCTCTCCAGTGCTTGACACAAAAATTAACGGATAAAATGAGTACCGGTGGATCTAAACAGACTTGCTAGTGAACATACTAATTATTAATTAGAGGACTGCTAACTATTAGTCCTATTAATAGGTTTATACTTGCTAATAGTTTATATGCACCTTCAACTCATTATCCTACCACCTATTTGTTGGTTTCGAGATCTCTCGCACGGGTGAGCTGACCGTTCACCGGCGTTCTCGCACACACACTATGGCTGGAGGTAGAAGAGGGAGAGAGCAGCGCCTTACATCAAAGATACATGCACGGCGTTGGCATGACTCTCTGAGGAGATGGCAAAAGCGAACTCTCTTCTTTGAGTTGCGGTGGGAAGCTATATATACAACTCTACCCATACACGACATACCAAGTCACTCTGGTGACTAGATGTGGCAATGAGGGCTGACTTTGGCGTGCCCCGCTTTGTGGCTTCTGATCTTGGCAGGGGATCCTTTCGGCCTTTGCCCTGCTGCTGGCTCTGATCAGCGGCAGCGAGGGAGCCCTTCGGCGCTTGCCCCTGCCAGCGTGTCTGAGAGAGAGCAGCAGATTACTTTATAATTCTTCCTCTAATCCTGCTGCTAACCCTAGAACCTCCAGCATGCCGATCATCTTCTTCTGCTCCGTGAACTGAAGACGGCCGAGTGGCTTGGTGAGGATGTCCGCGAGTTGCCGACCAGTTTCGACGAACTCGATGACGATCTACCCTCCATCGACACAGTCCCTGAGGAAGTGGAATTTGACGTCGATGTGCTTACTCCAGTCGTGGAGAACTAGATTCTTCTCGAGGGCGATGGCGGTGGTTGTCCACCATCGGTCTTTGGTGGGTGAGCTTCCACACCGGTCATTTCGCCCAAAGAATTTGGCGATGACCCTCTGACAGCTTTGCGCCATTGTGGCCACCGCCACGTACTACGCCTCGCCGCGTGGACAGCGCCATCACCTTCTGTCTCAGCGACAGCCATGAGATTGGAGCCGACCCGAGGAAGACGAGCACGCCAGAGGTGCTCCGCCGTCCGTCAATGTCCCCCGCCATGTCTGCAACTCTGAACACAGTGAGCTGCAGCCCACTTCCACCGGTCTTGGGGAAGGCGATCACTTGATCCACCGTCCCCATGACGTAAGCGTAGCAGCCCGCTTCACCGTGACCCAGTGATCCTCTCGGGGATCCTCCATGAAGCGGCTGACGTAGCCCACGGCAAACGGAATGTCCGGCCTCATGTGGACTAGGTAGCACAGACCGTCGATGATGCTCCTGTAGAGTATTGCATCTACCTTCGCCGCGATCTTGGCCTTCGTCGACCAGCCGCTCCTCCATTGGAGTCACGCATGGCTTGCACTCATCCATGCCGCTCTGCTCCAACGAGGCGAGGCGTATGTGCTCGACCGGCGTGGCGCCTCCTTCCCTGTCTCACCTCGATGCCGAGGTAGTAGGAGAGCGCGACGCGAGATCGCTCATTCAAAAATGAGCCTTCATCTCACGCTTGAAGCTATCGATGTCCTCCGCACGTGTGCGGTGATGATCAAGTCGTCCCACATACACGCCGATGATGAGCTCCTCCTTCCCCGTTGCCACGCGTGTAGCGCGCGCGTGCTCGGTTGCTCACCGCGCGTGAACCCAAGCTTGCCCGGCGTGGCCTCAAGCTTGGCATTCCATGTAGTCCATAGAGCGTGAGAGCAACTTACGTGGTCGGAGCACCACGTGCTCCGCTCCCTTGATAGCGAAACCGGAGGTTACCTAACGAAGACCGTCTCCGCCACCGCCATTGAGGAAGGCCAATTTTATGTCCAGGTGATGGACACGCCGGTCCGCCATTCACGCCAAAGCTAGTAGCGATCGGATAGACTCTATCGCGCTACGGCGCAAAGACTTCCTCAAAGTCGATGCCCTCACACTGGACAAAGCCTCGGAGCGACGAGCGCGCTTTGTGCTTGACAATGGCACCGTGCTCGCTCCCGCTTGACCTTGTACACCCACTTTTAGGCCGATCGGACGGCATCCTAGAGGTGGATCGATGAGCTTCCAAGTCTCATTTTCCTCGATCGCCTTCATCTCCTCCGGCATCGTCCATCGCCAATTTGCATCGCGCTCGGCCAGCGCGAACATGGGTGGTTCCTCTTCACTAACGAGAAGTAGCTCTAGGTCATTGAGTAGCCGACCCGCTTGGCTGAGGGGCCCGTCTTGCCGATGATGATGTCGTCGCCCGACCTGCGGAACCTCACCTCCTCACCGTCGTGGTAGACATCCATGAACTTCGGTGATGTAAGCTTGCGGTGAGGCGAACTCGATCGATGTCGATGGAGTCCAACGTCCGTCGGAGTGGTCGACAAAGACTGGAGTGCTCGGCACCGGTATTGCAGTGCTTGGCACTACTCCTGGACCGCTCATCACCACTCCTAGAGTGGTTGGCACCACTGTAGGAGTGCTCGGCACCAGTCTTGGAGTGGTCGACACCACTACAAGACCTCTCAGCTCCACTACAGGAGAGTTCGGCACCTGTCCTGAAGTGGTCGGCACCACTACAGGACCGCTCGACACCACTCCTGGAGTGCTCGGCATCGCCCCAGGAGTGCTCGGCTCTGTTGCTGGAGTGGTCGGCACCTCCTCTCCAGCGTCTCCACCACCGTGGATGACCAAGTGCTCGACGATGAAGGTGCTAGTGAAGCCGCCAGCTTCCCCCGTGCCCAGACTGTCCCAGTCCTAGGCTGCCTTCTCGTCGAACACGACATCGCATGGGACAACCACCTTGCCTTCGCGTGGGTCATAGAGCTGGTACGCCTGGTTACCCTCCTCGTTGCCCAGGAGCACCATCGGCGTGCTCCTGTCTTCTAGCTTGCCGAGGTGAGGCTTGGTGTTCTTCACATGGCCGATGTAGCCAAATGTCCTAAGGAAGGACACATTCGGCTTGCGTCCATGCTAAGCCTCGAACGGCATCTTGCCCTTTAGGGCCTTGGTGGGCGCACAGTTGATGATGAACACCGCCGTGGTCACCGCCTCTCCCTAGAACTTTGCCGGCATGCTTTTGGCCTTCATCATGGATCGAGCCATGCCAACCACTGTCTGGTTTCGCCGCTCCACCAGGCCATTCTGCTATGGCGAGTATGGCACGGTGTGGTGTCACACCACACCCTAATCCACGCAGTACGCAGTGAACTCCACTGAAGTGAATTTGCCGCCATGATCAGTCTGCAGCACGCGCAGCTTCTTCGTCGATGGTGACATCCTCAATGGTGAGGGTGGACAAGTACATCATCGTCTCTATGGAGAGAGCGATCAGGATGTACTTCACCGGCACAGAGTGGAGATACTTGGAGACCGCCTCTTCTTCGTCGATGGTGACATCGTGGCTCCTCAGCTTGCTGATGAGCGACTACAGGCGGAGGGAGAAGTTCTCTACCGACTCACCATCCTTGAACTTGAGGTTGGCGTACTCCTGCTTCAATAGCTGGGCCGTCGCCTTCTTTGCACGGTCGGAGCCGACGTGCATCGCTGCCATGGCCTCCCACACCTTAGCAAAGTTCTTCGCCCCCAATGGCTCCCTGTACTCCGCTGGCACAGCAGCGAGGATAGCCTCCAACGCTAACATGTCGTCTTCTTCATTGTCAGTGCCCTTGTCAATGGCATTCCATAGTTGTCGGGCTCTGGGTTTGACCTTCATGGTCACCACCCACTCGCCATAGTTGGTGCGAGTCAGCATCGGGCAACTGGTGCCGCTGACCTCCCGCACCGTGCGCACGACGACCTCCTATTGTGGCTGGGCAGCCACAACAGCGTCGCTACTGTCGCCCATCTCCAAACCGTCCGTCATCGCCAGCGGTTAGTCCGGAAGAAAGGTCCTAATATGGCTAGAGGGGGGTGAATAGCCTATTTAAAAATCTACAAAGTAACTAGAGCAAATTGATTAGTATGACAAATAGCGAAATGCAAACTTGCTCTAGCTCTACAAGGGTTGCAAGCCACCAATCCAACAATTCTAGTTGCAATGATTGCTAGTCACACAACTTACTATGATACTACTCACTAAGAGCTCTCAACCTTGTTACTCTAAAGAGCTCCACTAGATGAACTTAATTAGCAAAGCAAGCTCTCAATTCTAATTACACTAAAGAGCTTGCCACAACTAGTTTGCAAGAATATAAATGAGTGAGTAGGATGATTATACCGCCGTGTAGAGAAGTGAATCAATCACAAGATGAATATTAAACCAATCACTGGGAGAATACCAAATGACAAGAGACAACCGATTTTCTCCTGAGGTTCACGTGCTTGCCAACACGCTACATCCCCGTTGTGTCGACCAACACTTGGTGGTTCGACGGCTAAGAGGTGTTGCACAAACCTCGTCCATATGATTGGACACCGCAAGAACCTACCCACAAGTGAGGTAACTTAATGACACGAGCAATTCACTAGAGTTACCTTTCAGCGCTCCGCCGGGGAAGGTACAAATCCCCTCACAATCACCAGAGATGGCCACGAACAATCACCAACTCGTGCTAATCCTCCACCGCTGCACCAAGCCGTCTAGGTGGTGGCAATCACCAAGAGCAACAAGTGAATCCCACAGCGGAACACGAATACCAAGTGCCTCTAGATGCAATCACTCAAGCAATACACTTGGATTTTCTCCCAATCTCACAAAGATGATGAATCAATGATGGAGATGAGTAGGAGGACTTTGGCTAAGCTCACAAGGTTGCTATGTCAATGCAAATGGCCAAGAGAGT